AAGATGATTGATTCGCTTTTAATAATCTTGAGACATGAATTGTAGTTTCGAGATTTTGAGACTGAATCAATTTTATGCACAAACTGAAAAGCTGTTTATTCCAAATAAATGTAACGTGTGTAATCGTTGTTGATTAATTTTTCAACAATGTTCCTTGGAATGGATGCGGTTTGTCATCGAACAAGTTGTCTCAGCAATTCTGTGAATTATTAATTTGTGACCATACGCGGAATACGGTTCCATTATGATCTNNNNTTATGATCTATAGAAAGTTTCATTCGTGAGTTAAAGCAAAATCAACCAAACGTATTCTATAGATGAGCAACGAAATCGATGCTACTCTTGGCCAAATACTGGGCACAGACATTATTCCTAGCCTCAGAATGGGAGAACCGCATTAGTGGGATGCGGAAGTTGTGTTCCAAATAGTTGAATAATTATGGAAGTAATACAGTTTAACTGAAACTTAAAAATAAATTAGATTAAGATAATGCTAAAATCGCAATATATGTCCAGACTGAATACAAGTGGCCCATATCAGCAAAAGCTTGGGGCGAATATAAGTTGGTTGACCAAATGGAGACTTATTACTAGTAGAAGCTTGCATTTCGCCCTTTTCAAGGTAGATTTTGCTCGTTCGATGGTGATCAGTATGGACGAAGCTGTGAACGCAATAATTGTGCGAGGACGAAAGGCTTCGTTCAGCTTGAGCCATACACAATACACGTTTTGTCAAGCACTGGGAATAAAGTGTAATCACGTAGAAGGTGAGCTAGCGATTGATCGATCCACCATTATCTATCCACAGGGGTTTCATCGTAACTCTTATCAGACCATATGTGTACAGAATTACCGTATTAGTATAAAAACAAATTCAAACAACGTGCCAAACGAGACAATTTTTGATATGCATTGCTGGTGCTCCCTAATGCAGTAGCAACTCAATAAAGATACTTTTCCAGAATGTCTCCATGAAAATGGCTTGTGGACACTTTTACACTGATCGTGGCACAAGATCCTTTCTTAATTCTTCTTTACAATGAGAACTGTACAGTAACTAACGATTGTCTGGAAGCCGTGATGTTCCCAGCTGGATGCTTTTTTCTCTCATCCATTTGGTAACTCGAAAAAACAACGTTATGCTAGTGAATCAAATTGAGAGGAACATCAATGTGGTTTTGATTGCCCAATCGGTGGTACTAAATAATACAAACATCGTGTTTTGCTTCGTTTTATCTCACATATAAAAGTACGACAAAGTTCGGAAACGTGGAGGAGATCAATCGAATCGAAGGAGCCTAATAGTTCGGGCGGGGGTTCCACTGATCCGGTTTTGGCAAATAGAAATGTCGAAAATAAGCCATTCCATACTCCTGAAACCCCGGTCTACGATAGTGCCAAACGGTGATTACCACGCGTTTATGAGTTTCGTCTGCGATCGTGATTCATTATTTGTCTATTCCGATCAGTACAGGTCATCTCTATGGGTATCAGTCATAAGTAATAGCTTAACTGATTTGGAAGAGTATACAATTTGCCATTCGTTTGCACCAGAAGTATTAATTTAGTTAAATGTATACGAAAGAGTACCGTCTTCTAAAACAAATCAATTTAAACATGTCCATTTTTCTACTGTTAGACAGTTTGATACACGGGTGTCAAATCTCATTGGTTCACCTTAGTCGATACCCATTTTTTCAAATGAGTAATGGAAGATTTGATTCAACTTCCAAGGTGAATTCGTTGTGCATATATCAAATGAAGCTTGAACTGAAAAGCTAGGAAGCACTGCACAGCTGTTTCGACCTGGTTGGGTCTCATCAGCAATGCGAATCCATTGACCCAACTGGGGATTGAACCCGGGCCCTCACAGGCAGAACGCAAGCATGCTACCCACTCAGCCATCGGGCGGATGATCAGACCGTGTTTCGTCTTCCATTTACACGATATAGCACAACCCATCTTCGTGAGCTTGTTAGGGGCCACAGACTGCTCATTTCACATGAAAAAAGTAGTCAGGTTGTGAATATTTCCAACCGAGTAAGAACCCAGAAGATAGTGATGAGATGAGCAGGGTCTGTGGCCTGCAACAAACTCGCAACGATGGATTGACGTTTTTGGTTCATGGCTTTCTCTATTTGCTTTGCCTTGCAGGTTCATCTTTAACCCCGACCCACGGAAGATCTTTCTGCCAGCGTTTCCTCTCCACACTGTGTCCCGGTCTTATCGTCACTGTATCGTTGTTCCTCCACCGCCGTCCGTTTCCCGGAAAGTGCATATTATATATAGCTGTGAGAATATTAGCCGGGGGATATCCTGTGGCGCATTTCTGTTAACTTTGCTGCGTTACGAGAGCCCGGAATACGCTCGCATTACAGCAGCGCCGGAGCAAAGCTGTGCCTGCCAATATATTGCTCTATTCATTTTTTGTCTACTGATGTTATGTCTTAGAAAGCCATCATTGTGCCGGGACGAGAAAAAGTCAAAGGACAGAACCCCATGGGTAGACTTTGTCTCTAGTGTCAAACTGACAATAGCATGGAATGATTAAACAAATCTGATCTCTTTGAAACACTTTTTATGTGATCCATGTCAAAAATACTACCATAAATACGATATCTGTGTAGGAAGAACTGCCTCGTACAAGTGGGCAACATTTAGTTTTTAAGACAGTCCACCATGAAGGCATCATTCGATGCAAGACCTGGTTGTGCACCCATGGCTGCTTCATCCTTTCAATGACACAACCGGTCAACTGAAGTTGGACGTTGAACGCACACTGGCGAGGGATTTTTATGGGACCACTCGATCAATCCCTGAGACCTCAACTGCTTTCTTAAATGTGACCACAGATGCAATCAATCAGTGCACTGAGCAGAACATTTCTCGATAGAGACTTAATTATCTGCTTGTTCGCTGCGTCTAGTAGTTCTATAAATTAGCAGAATTTACGTGAATAATTCAGGGAATATTTTTTTTCGATTTTCTTTTTGGTAGCCACTGTATGCCATATGAGACAGGCTATGGCTGCCCAATGTCTGTGTAAACAGATCACATTGTTTATGCTCTATCATTATTTCGTATGATCTAGGCATCAATTTTTCAAATCATTCTACTGAAAATGTATATTCTACTAACTCGGAGGTATTTATTTTGGGCAGCTTTAAACATGCTTGACTAGAGTAAAATGTTTACTTGAACATAGAGAGTAAGGGGTCTGAAACACAGGGAACCGAGACCGTGTATTGAGTCGAGGACGCAGATGGGAAATGGACGTCTGACGATGTAAGCCGTTCAAGTGAATGACAAACGTTTCTAGCCCTGTTCAAAATGTCTTCGATGGCTATCAGGCCTATAATGCTCCGCCTCGCCCCGCTCTGCCCCGCCCC